AACCGGTTCGAAATCGGGCAGACACTGATCCGGCACCTCTGGCTGCGGTGAGGACTCTCCCACGGGGTTCTCAGAAACACACCCCAGAAAAGGTCGAACCTGCAGACGGGGAAACTGAGGCTTAGCCCGGCTTCCAGGAGGGCCGCACCCAGGAGCTGGGACCTGAAACCTCGGTCTCACCTGCGCCCTGCGGGTTCCCTCCACCCCGACTCCGCCCAGCCCGCTCTGTGTGGGCGTGGCTCCAGGGAGAGACGGCAGCGGATTGGCCCAGCTCCTCCTCTTTGTGACCTCTACTATGTCATAGGCCACAGGAGGGCCAATGAGCTGCTTCCCTTGGTCCAGGTGCCCAATCAGCTGTGTGCTAAGGCCCGCTAGGTTTTCCCGTTCAACAGGCTGGGGACGGAGAGGAGGGTTGAGAATCTGCGCTGTTTTTGTTTTTGTTTTTGTTTTTTAGATTTTTCCATAGGGTGCATGTGTTTCACCGCCCCCCCCCACCCTAGGGATAGCCATGCCGCAATCCTTTCTCCATTTGCTCAGATTTTGGCTGTGTGCACACGAGCCTGTGTGATTTTCAAGCCACCTGGTCTGGGATTTGAACCATGCAGTCGGTCATGTGGAATCTAGCATGTTAACCACCGCGCCACCTACTGGCCCTGGCTGCGATTTTCTTCCCTTTAATCAGCGCCCTACTATTCTCTCCCTGTCCCATCCTTCACGGCCTCTTGTGGTCCTTCTTCAGAGGATCATCTTTTTTTTTTTTTTCCTCCTTAATTTGCCAGAGGGTGCATGCCAGAGAGAGAGAGAGAGCGAGAAAGTACCCCCCCTCATGGGGATAGCCATGCTGCAGTGTCTTCACACCCCATGTGTTTCTTTCTTTTTTAATTTATCAGTGATTTTGAAGAATTATTCATTTAACTTTACTTATTTATTTTAATTTGACGGGGTGGGGGGGAGGTAGCGGCAGAAGCAAGCTACCAGGTCCAAGACTTGAACCTCAGTCAGCCATGTGGGAGTCCAGTTGCCTTAACCATCATGCCACTTGCATCCCTGCCCCCCATGTGTGTGTTAAACTGTAGTGCCCAGGACTTGAACTTCAGTCAGCTTGGGGAATTCAGCTACCTTAACTACCAGGCCACCGATTATCTTTGAAGGTCAGTCTTGGGGCCAACAGGTGGCATGGTGTTTAAGGCACTGGACTCCCACATGGTCAACCCTGGTTCGAGTCCTGGACATGGCAGCTTGAAACTCACTCCAGATATGCATGCTTGCGTGTGTGTCCAAGATCCCAGGGGGAGAACAGAGGAGAAGGGGTTGTGGCATGACCATCCACCCAGGGAGGGTGATTTCTCGCTGTTTTTCTGTCTCTGTCTCTCCAGCAAACACTCATGTCTTATAGCAAAAATCTCTCTCTCAAAAAAAAAAAAAAATTAATAATAAAGAAAATGCAGTGGGGGCCGCCGAGGACGGGCGGCAGTTGTAGATGGTGGAGACGTGGCTGGATCCTGTTGGGCGGGTTGGGGGGTGGGGGGAGGAGTCTAAGGCATCGGGGAGTCTTCTGGCGTCTGTCAGCTTGCCTCCCTCGCCCACCTGGCTGACTGTGGTGTTCCTAGTCCCCCAGCGCTCCGAGCAGGCATACACGTGGCACTGGGCGTCAGGCGGTGACAGGGAGGCGGCAGGAGCCCCTGTCCCTGCCTGGTGGGGGCAGCAGGTGCTGGGCTCCCATGGGACTGAGGAGGCGCAGCACGGAGTGGGGGGGCATCGCTGGTCTCTGGGTCCACGCTGGGACTGGGCCACTGCATGTGCAGAGGGACAGGCAGGGACATGAACACAGGTGGGGTGAGGGGTAGGAGAGGACAGAGGGCAGCGTGGCACCGGGCCGGCGGTGATGGGGAGGGAGACGAGCCTGTTGTGGACCCCGATTGCTGGCACTCGGGGGCCTGTGTTGTCCTGGTCGGAAGTCCCTCAGGCTGGCTCACGGGGCCTTGTGCCAGACTGTCGCCCTTTGCAGACCGGGCCCCAGCCCAGTGCGTTCCCTCTGTGCGCCTGTCTCCCCGTCTGTGAATCGGGGTGAGGGTGGCGCCTCTCATGCGCCGTAGCGGGGCTGCCTGCTCCTGCACGACCGGGGCCTGGCATCGAGGCAGCGCCATCTCCCCTCACCACGCCCGCAGCATCGGCTCATCCTGGCTCCCTCGGTCTCGGTGAACCGTGACTGCTAACCATCGAGTTTAAAAATTACCTAAGACGGCGGCAGCAGGAAGTCGAGTGGCCCTCAGAGAACCCTGCCCTCGCCGGGAACCACCCCCGGCCTCATAAACCCTGGGCACTGGACCTGTCCCCGTGGGATGTGGATGGAAGGCCCCCGCCCCTGACCTTGGTCTCAGATGGCAGGAGGAGACGTCAGGGTCAGGACGTGGCCGGAGGCTTCCCGGGGCGGCACAGTCCAGCCTTTACTCCTGGCTCCTTGGCCCCGAGACAGGACCTCGGCCAGGCCTCGCGTTCCTGGGACCTCCCCTCCTCCAGGTCCCCGCTGCACCCACAGTTTCTCTCCTGTCCCCGTTCCTGGGCGCCTGGAACACCCTGCCCAGGTCTTCTCCCCCTCTGCTGGGCCACCCACCCCAGCCTGCTCACGGCTGCCTCAGTTCCCCTGTGCATGCCTATGTGACGTCTTCCTGTCCTGGGGGGTGACTTGCCAGAGGGCGCATGCGCTGGTGGGAGAGTGAGAGTGAGACCCCACAGCCCCCTCTCCTCTGTGTCTCCCTCCTTTCGGGATTTTGGGCACACACAGGTGCCTGGAGCGTTTCTCAAGCTGCCAGGTTCAACCTTGAGCCATGCAGTCGGTTGTGCCAGGCTCAGCTTCCTCCTCTCTCTCTCCCCTCTCGGTGGTACTCGATGGTGGGGCCAGGGTGGTCCCCTTTGCCCAGCGCAGGGCCCAGCACACGGCAGACTGTCACCTTCCCGGTGGCCGTGCATCGCAGACTGGGACATACTTATGACTCATCTCGGATCATGTGGAGCTCTAGGGCCGAACCAGCTTGGGAAGGGCCAGGCGCGCAGTCACTAAAGGCTCTGACAAGGCCTCTGTGAGGCCCTCATTGGATCGGTGACATGGTGTTTTTCTTTCTTTTTTTTTTTTTTTGAGACGTTTTCGCTATAGGGTGCACGCGCTCGCCAGAGAGACAGGGAGAGACAGAGAGACAGAAAGCGAGAAATCACCCTCGGGGGATGGGCATGCACGCACATGCGCCCAGCATGAGTTTAAGCCACCAGATCCAGGACTCGAACTGCAGTCAACTACATGGGAGTCCAGCGACATAGCCATTTCACCACCTGCTGGTCCCTGTTTGATCGTGTGGTGCTTTGGGTCTTCTGAGCGTATCTGAGGCCCGTGCTATTTAGGGGAGGCCGATCTTGTCTCCCTGTGTCAGGAGACATCCCGCTCTGTCTGCCCTGGCCTAGGGTGGGAGCAGAAAGAGCCCTGCCCTGAGTCCCCGAAGCAGCTGTGGGCTCCGGGGAACGTGAGGCCTCTCCATGAGCTCCACTGCGTTCTGCAGTCACCGTTCACCGTGGGGAATGAGGTGCAGAGAAGGGTAGGACCCCAGCTGAGTCCGAGACCTTCCCATGAGCTCGGCACTGCGTTCACCGTGGGGAAACGGGGTGCAGAGAAGGGTAGGACCCAGCTGAGCCGAGTGGGCCGCGCACACCCTCCTCCCTCTCCCTCTGCAAATCCTGCTTCTCCGTCCGCCTCGCCGTCTGCCAGGGGCGGGCTGAAGGCAGGCTTCCCAGCAGGTCCTCAGTGTGTCGTAATCGTGAAGAAATGCCAGCAGGCACATGACCCTGTCTCCCGTCGGAGTCGAGAGGGCCTTCTCCTTTTTTCTTTGAAAGTTTATCTCTCCCATAGGTGAGACAGAGAGAGGCAGAAAGACATCACCCCCAGCAGGGTTCCAGTACTGGAGTCCAGCCCTGGCCTCAGCCAACCCAGAGCGGGAGCCCCTGCGAGCCCCGTGCACTAGGAGAGGCCTGTGGACGGGAACCCAGAACCTTCCTGTGTGGGGCGGCCTCACAGACTGTGGTTTTACCACTAGGCCACCGTCTGGCTCCAGGAGGGTGCTCTTCTGTCTCGGCCCTTGGCCCTGGCAGGCTTTTATTTAAAAAAAAGATTGGGCCCAGCAGGTGGCATAATGGTTACATCACTGGACTTCCACGTAGTGGACCGCGGTTTGATTCCCAGACCCAGTGGCTTGAAACTCATGCCAGACACTTGCGTGCATGCCTAAAATCCCAAGAGGAGAATAGAGGAAAAGGGATTGCAGCGTGACTGTCCCCTCAGAGGAGTGATTTCTCACTTTCTGTCTCTGTCTCCCCAGTGAATGCACACATCCTATAACAAAAAATCTCTCTCTAAAAAATTTTTTTAAACATTTTATTATTTTTAATTATTTGTTTAACTTTATTTATTCATTCATTCATTTTTATTTTGACCAGAGAGACACACACACAGAGAGAGAGAGAGAGAGAAGGTGAGAAAGCGAGCCACCAGGTCCAGGATTTGAACTGTGGTCAACCATGTGGGAGCATCCAGTACCCTAACCACCATGCCACCCGCTGGTTCCTAAAAAAAATTTTTTTAATAAAAAAATAATTGGGGGGGACCAGCACATGGCGTGGTGGTTAAGGCGCTGGACACTCCCACACGGCTGACCACAGTTTAAATCCTGGACCGGGTGGCTTGCTTTCTCACTTTCCTCTTTCTGTGTGTCTCTCTCTGGTCAAATTAAAATAAATAAATGAATGAATAAAATTGAATAAAATAATTATTTAAAAATATTAAAAATAATTGGGGGCCAGCTGGTAGCATAGTAGTTAAGGGACCAAACTCCCACGTGGCCTACCGTGGTTAAAGTCCTGAGCCCAAGGCTCAAAAGTCACTCTGGGTGCGTACAGGTGTGCACCGAAAATCCCGAGAGAACAGAGGAGGAGGGATTATGGTGTGGCTATTCCTTCCAGGGGGTGATTTCTCTTTCTCTAGCAAGCTCTGATGTCCTATGGCTGAAACAAACAAACAAAAAACTAAAATGAATTTTTCTTAGTTGCCGGAGAGAGGCAGAGAGCAGAGGGAGAGAGCACCCTGTGATGGGCGTGGTCGTGCCTCCGTGTCTCTCCATTTCTCAGCTCCGGCCGGTTTTGGTGCACACACGCACACGAGCCCCGCTTGTCTTCCAAGCCACCGGAGTCAGGATTCAAACCACGGCCAGCCATATGGTGTTTGGATCCCCTAACCATCAGGCTACGGGGCTGGCCCTGCAAACTCCCCCTTTTATTTATTTATTTTCACTATAGGGGGCGTGCGCTCGCCAGACAGACAGAAAGAGACAGAGAGACAGAGAGACAGAAAGCGAGAAACCACCCCCTAGGGGGGATGGTCACGCCGCAATCCCTTCTCCTCCATTCTCCTCTCGGGATCTTGGGCACGCACGCACACGTGCCCGGCGTGAGTTTTAAGTCACCGGGTCCGGGACACGAACCGCGGTCGACTACGTGGGAGTCCAGTGACATAGCCGTTACGCTAACTGCTGGCTCCCTTTATTTATTTTTTTGAGGGAGATTTTTGCCATAGAGCATAGGCACTTGTGGGAGAGACAGAGAAAGACAGAGAGACAGAAAATGAGAAATCACCCCCCAGGGAGGATGGCCACACTGCAATCCCTTTTCCATCCTCCTCTCGGGATTTTGGGCACGCACGCACACGCGCCCAGTGTGAGATTCAAGCTGCTGGATCCGGGATTCAAACTGCAGTCAGTCATATAGGAGTCCAGCACCCTAACTACCTGGCCACCCGCTGGTCTCCCTTGCAGAATCCTTTAAAACAGGATGTACAGAAAACCTCAAGGGACATCCAGCCTGAGGGGGCCACCACACAGCCCCTGCAGGGGGCCACTGCCTCTGGCCGCGGGTGGCCTGATGGCAGGACTGGCTTCTGCCGTCCCGAGGTAGGGGATTGGTATTTAGCGCAGTGGGGTCCCGGGGGGCGGGTCATGGGAGTGACATCCTTCGGACAGATGGCCTAAGGTTTGTAATAGTTAGGCGGCTGCTCTGCCAGGCGCCCGGGAGAAAACTGCCCATGCCATGGCTCCGCTCTCTGGGAGCTCAGCCGAGGGAGACGGCCTGCAGGAGGGATAGAACCTCTTTCTAGAAAACCCCACAAAGACAGGGTCGAGATGCCCTGCAGTGGGTGGGGAGGGGGCACTGGCTCCCAGGGTTGGGCAGTGTGACTGCTGGCCGAGGGCCCGGTGGTTCCTTCATTCCTGTCACTCAATGGGCCCCTGGCTGGTCCCCCAAAGTCCCCAGGGCCTGTTCACACGCTGGTCGAAAGCCTGCCAGCTGGGACTGGGCTGAACCTTTGCCCAGAGAGCCCGCCCGGCGGTGGGGCAGGGTGATGGCCATGGGCGGGGTTGTCGGTCTGTTCCGGCGTCAGCCCGGGGACCAGAGGAACTGGCTCCGTTATCTGGAAATGAATGGGTCCCCCTCGTCTGCTAGTCCGGCTTCAAGGCTGAGGGGAGGAGGGTGGGAGCGAAGCGGTTCCGGGGGAGAGGACGTTGCTACGAAAACCTGCAGGAGACGGTGGGCGCTGTGTGCCTTGTAAGAGGCATGCCGTCTCTGGACTCTCTCCTGTGTGAGAATGGAGTCTCCCTGCCACGTCGTGCATGGGCCCCTCTGCTCTCTGCCCTCTGCCCGGCGGCCATGTCTTCTTGTGCTGACATATCGAGTCCTCCCACAGGCCCTGCTGTGGGGGCCCCGGGGTCCTGGGAGGCCCTCTGGATGCAGCCTGAGCCTGTAACTGCCGGTCAGGCAGACCAAGCTCTGAGATGCTGTGGCGGGCAGGTCCAGGCCCTGGTCCAGAGACTCGGCTCTCATAGGGAAGGAGGCCAAAATGCAGGACTCAGGGAAGGCTTCCTAGAAGAGGTGACAGGCAGGCAGTGGCTGTTGGAAGAAGGGGAGGAGGTACGTCTGGCCCTTCCAGGCTCCCGGCTTGGTAGGGTAGAGGCCTGCAGGAGAGAGAGCGCCCGCATCCTGGCCCCCAGCTCCCCTCCCACCCCACATCTCCCTGTGCTCCTTGAGGGGATGGCCTCTCTCGTGGGCTGAGCTGGGGCCTGGAGCCGGAAGAGAGCTGAGGTTTGCTGTGGGGGCGGGGGCTCTTCCGTTTTTAGCAGCTCTTGCAGGAAGGGCCAGTGTTTCCTCCCGTCTCTGTGGAGGGCCCGAGCATGACTGTCCTTGGGAACCGGGTCAGTGACAGTGGGGATGGGGACCCTGGATCCCGCATCCTGCAGCTGGCACCCTCAGTGACCCCGCTCCATGCTGGACTCAGCCATGTGTTTCTGAGCCCACCGAGCCCCCCAGATCCTGCAGGAGGAAGTCAGAGAGCTGAGGGGCCCCCAGGCGGCCCCACAGTCACCTGGCCTGAGAGCCACTAGGAGCAAGATCGTCGGAGCCCCGAATCCCAGCTCCCCCACTGAGCAGGGGCTACTACTGGGCCTTCCAGGACCTCGGCTTTTCCATCTGTGAAACGGGGATCACGAGCCGGCAGGTGGCGTGCTGATTAAGGCGCCGAACTCCCACTTGGGTAACCGTGGTTCAAGTCCCGGACCTGGCAGCTTGCTTTCTCACTTTCCCTCTCTGGATCTCTCTACCTCTCTCTGGTCAAATGAAAAAATAATAATAATGATGAATAAAAGCAAATAAACTAATTCTTTAAAGCAAAGAAAAAAGGAAATAAATAGGAATCATGGAGATATTCTCTTTTGAGCAAACAAGACTATGTAGGGGCCGGCAGGTGGCATGGTGGTTACGGGTTCTAGACTCCCACATGGCCATCCATGGTTCGAGTCCCGGACCTGGCAGCTTCTTTTCCCTCTCTCTTTCTCTCTTGCCCTCACTCTCACTCTGTCCCTCTCTGGTCAAATCTAAATAAATAAATCAAGTTAAATAAAATAATTCTTTTTTCTTTTTGAGAGGATTTTGCTATCAGTGTGTGCACTCACCAGAAAGAGACAGAGAGAAACAAAGTGAGAAATCACCACCCCCACCCCACCCCCAGGGAGGATGGCCACACTGCAGTCCCTTCTCCTCCTTTCTCCTCTCGGGATGTTGGGCACACACGCACATGCGTCCAGCGTGAGTTTAAGCCACTGGGTCCAGGACTTGAACCGTGGTTGACTACATGGGAGTCCAGTGACATAGCCATTACGCCAACTGCTGGTCCCTAAATAAAATAATTCTTAAAAATAAAAAAAAGCGAGACTGCACGGGTGAGGCTGGACAACCACGCTGGCCGTAGTTTGGTAGGTTACAGTGAAGACGGGATGGCTAACCTCACAGTGGCTCCTTTTGCCTTGTTGCACCTCTGGGTAGAGGTTCGAGACCCCCCTGCTCCTCTCCACCACGGGGATCTGTGTCCACTTTCTCCTTAAGACAGTTTGAGGTACGGCTGTTCTGTCTACGCAGCCAGGTCTCCTCCTGGTGGAATTAAGGCTATTTCCAGTTTTCCCTCCTAAGAACACGGCGCTGATGCGAATCTTTGCACTTCTGGTTCTCTTAACTTTTTGCCAGCATGAATTCTTTTCCACATGGGCATGACATCAGGAGCTACGAGCTCCCAGCTTTCTGGGTCCCTCCCTGACATCACTTTGAAAATTCAGGAGCAGGCAGGCGGTGTAGTGGTTAAGGCACTGGACTCCCACATGGCCAACCACGGTTCAAATCCTGCACCTGGTGGCTTGCTTTCTCACTTTCCCTCTCTCAGTGTCTCACTGTGGTCAAATGTAAACATTTTAATAATACAATTAAACAGTTATTTTTTTTAATTATTTTTTATTTAATTTTATTTATTTATTTTAATTTGACCAGAGCCAGACAGAGAGAGAGAAAGTGAGAAAGCAAGCCACCAGGTGCAGGATTTGAACCGTGGTTGGCCATGTGGGAGTCCAGCACCCCCAACCACCATGCCATCTGCTGCCCCGGCAGGTTGATTATTTCTAGGGGCACTCTCCAGACCTTTGTTTAATGGGCCCCATTGCTCTCGCCAGGGGTCTGGTGGTGGTAGGTACATTGCTAGGGAGCGTCTAAGCAAAGGGTTTGGGGCTCGTTAACAAAGACGGTAAGACTGTACACCCCTATCTACTCTGGGCAGAGGGAGGAAGCAAGTGTGACGTCACGTTCACAGATGGCGGCGCTTCTGCTTCACAATCACGGCGTGCCCTCTGCAAAATGCTGCTTAAGGATGTCTGTGCTTTTTACAGTTTTTGCCATAGGGTCCATGGGCTCACCTGAGAGCGAAAGGGAAAGTGAGAAAGCATCTCCCCTCACCCCCATGGGGGGGTGTCTACACCGCAGCCCCTTCTCCTCCGTCCTCTTGAGATTTGGGGCACACATGCACATGTACCTGGGGCGTTTTTCAGCTTGCCGGGTCCAGGACTTGAACCATGCAGTCAGCCTTGTGGGATCCTGCTGCCTTACCCACCATGCCGCCTGGCTGGCCAGCTGCAGCGGTTGCCAAAGCCCTCGTCCCAGAAATGCGTCTGCTCCCCCTGCAGGTGAGGCCGCGTGGCTTTCTCACGCAGCCCGTCTTCCTCCCCTTTGCAGAATATGCCGAGTTTTTGCACTGCAAATCGAAAAAGTTTACAGACTTCGATGAGGTCCGGCAGGAGATCGAAGCGGAGACCGACAGGGTCACGGGGACCAACAAAGGCATCTCCCCAGTGCCCATCAACCTGCGAGTGTACTCGCCACACGGTAGGTGACCGGGCAGGGCCCCGCCACTCCATCTGCTGCTACCCCTTCTAAGGAATTGTGTTTTTTTAAAGAATTATTAAAAGAATTATTTAACTTTACTTAGTCAGTTATTTTAACTTGGCCAGAGAGGGACAGAGTATGTGAGACAGGAGGAGAAAGCGACAAAGCAAGCCGCCAGGGCCGGGACTCGAACCACAGTCGGCCATGTGGGAGTCCAGTGCCCTTAACCAAGGCACCACCGGCCAGCCTCCCCATCCCCCTACCCCGGCTCTGATGAATTTAAAAATGAATTCAGTTTTGAATAAATGATACCCAAACGTGATCCCGAATTCCAAAAGTAAAAAGATATCCACAAAATGTTGCTGTCCCTCAATAAACACACCATTTCTTTTTTATTTTATTTTATTTTTTTTGAGAGGTTTTCACTGTAGGGCGTGTGCGCTCGCCAGACAGAGAGAGACATAGAGACAGAAAGCGAGAATTCACCCCCTGGGGGAACAGCCACACCACAATCCCTTCTCCTCCATTCTCCTCTCAGGATCTTGGGCACACATGCACACGTGCCCGGCATAAGTTTTAAGCCACCGGGTCCAGGACGTGAACCGCGGTCGCCTACATGGGAGTCCAGCAATATAGCCATTATGCCAGTTCCTGGTCCCAAGATTTAAACCGCACAGTTAGCCATGTAGGATCCAGCTTCCTCGACTCCTCCGCCACCTGCTGGCCCTCAGAGTATTTCTTCTCATAATATCATTTTTTTGTTCCTAACGATTCTCATCGGTTTGGACGTTTAGATCGATTCCGATCTGCAGATAAATGCGCTTGTTCTCATACCGAGCTGCAGCACGGGAACACAGTGGGTACAGGGTGTCCGGAGAGTGGCATCCCAGCCGGGGGTTACAGAATCGAAGTCACGCTCCACTTTGGCCTCAGGCATTGCCCTGAGGTCTTGACCCCCTCGCTGCCCGCTCTGCCCCAGAACACGGGGACCCACGGTCTCTGCAGGACTGACTTCCGTCTGCTTTCCTCAGTGTTGAACTTGACCCTCATCGACCTCCCGGGCATCACCAAAGTGCCCGTGGGCGACCAGCCCCCAGACATCGAGTACCAGATCAAGGACATGATCCTGCAGTTCATCAGCCGGGAGAGCAGCCTGATCCTCGCCGTCACTCCAGCCAACATGGACCTGGCCAACTCGGACGCCCTCAAGCTGGCCAAGGAGGTCGATCCCCAAGGTACCCACCGGGCCCGGGCCGGCAGCTCCGGCTTCTACGCACCCCTGCGCAGTGGCACTGTCCGCCAGGTCCCAGCCCCTGGCATCCTCTGTGGCACTTCCCACGTGGGAACAGGCCTCTGGGGTATGGCATCGGGTAGGGCAGGAGGACATACCTCCTCGGACCGGACAGCGCCCACCTCGCCAGCACGGGCGGCCGGCTAGCCCGAGAGGAGGTAAGGTCGGCCCTCGGGGTGATGTGAGGCCAGGTCCACCTCTCCTCGTTCCCCGGTCTCCCTAAGGCTTTGATCTACCCAAAGGCAAGGTGGGAGCATCGGTCCCCACCTGCTGGGGGACTAGAGGTCGCACAGTAACGTGCTCCGTGACAGCAAAGGCAGCCAATTCCCGAAGCCCGGTCGGGCAGTAGGGGGGAGTGGGGACTGTGGCGTTTCTGCCTGAGGACATTCAGAGTCCAACTTTTCTTCCTTTCTTTTTTTCCCCCCATTATTATCGTATTTAACTCTATCATTGTTGCTATTATTATTTTATAATTTGACGAGAGAGAGACACACAGAGACGGGGGCAGTGAGAATGTAAGCTGCCGGGCCCGGGGCTTGAACTGCACGTGAGAGTCCAGCACTTCAAACACCGTGCCAGCTGCTGTCCCCAGAGTCCTCCTTTCTCAATGGCCATTTATTTTTTTTTACTTATTTATTTTTGATTCTTTTATTTTTTGCTACAGGGCATGTGTGCTTGTCAGAGACAGAGGGCAGGTGAGAAAGCCCCACGGGGAATGGCCATGCTGCGGTCCCTTCTCCTCCATTCCCCTCTGGGATTTGGGGCACGTGCACACGGGTGCCCAGTGTGACTTTCGTGTCTCCAGTCCGGGACTCACACTGCAGTCACGGGAGCCGGCTGCCTTAACGCCCACACCCCCTGCTGGCCGCCATTACTTGACCGTTTTGTCAAGAGACAGATTTTTGCTATCAGGTGCATGCACTCGCCAGAGAGGCCGAAGGCAAGAAATCACCCTCAGGCGAGATGGCCATGCCACAGTCCCTTCTCCTCCCTTCTCCTCTTGGGATCTTGGGCACGCACGCACACGCGCCTGTTGTGTTTTAAGCCTCTGAGTCCAGGACTCGAACTGCAATCCACTACGTGAAAGTCCAGTGATAAAACCATTATGCCACCTGCTGTCCCCATTTGAAAATGTTCTACCTGAGAGTAAGGGTGTCACGTACACTCAAGGGAGGAAAAGAGGATCGCCCTCCACAGGGTCTCCTCACTCTGCAGTCCCCTCCCCAGCCCGCCAGCACCTTGGGATCTGTGCCCCCCGCTCATCGATGGCATGCTTCCAGGCCAGGCCGCGGTCCCGGACCTGTAGTCAGCAGCCATGTGGCTTCCAGCCTTGCAGGGCATTTGCATCGCGTGGCTGGTCCTTGGACTCGTTCCTTCCTTCCTGTCTCATTTTGTTCACCCTAGGGAGCATGTGCTCCCCGGGGAGAGGGAGAGAAGTGAGGAAGGACCCCCAGGGACGGCCACGCCACAGTCCCTTCTCCTCCCGGGATCGCGCACCCAGCGTGAGTTTAAGCCACCGGGTCCAGGACTCGAACCACGGTCGACTACATGGGAGTCCAGCGACATAGCCATTATGCCAACTGCTGGTCCCGTGGTTACCTAGCTGCCTTAACCCCTGGCATTGTTGGGCCTCGGGCGGCCTGCAGCCGCCCACCCGTGCTCCTTCTCGTGGCTCCCTCTGACCTGTGGCTTTGCAGGCCTGCGGACCATCGGCGTCATCACCAAGCTGGACCTGATGGACGAGGGCACCGATGCCAGGGACGTCCTGGAGAACAAGCTGCTGCCCCTGAGGAGAGGTGCGGCGCGGGAGGGCGGTGCCAGGGCGGGCCGGGGCTGGACACCGGGCACCGAGGGGTCACTTGCTTGTTCATTTAATGTACCGCTGGCGCGCGGGCACTCACTGGAGAGAGAGGAGAGAGAAAGGAAGCGAACAGCGCTGGGGGGATGGCCGCGCCGGTCCCTGCTCCTCCATTCTCCTCTCAGGATTTTGGGCATGTGCACACGCATGCGCGGTGTGTATTTCAAGGTGTCGCGTCTGAGACTCAAACCGTGGAGCTGGCTATGTGGGATCCAGCATCTTAACCACCACACTACCTGCCGGCTCCCCCTCCCCAGCTTGTGGGATCTTTTTTTTTTTTTTTGGAGAGGTTTTTGCTACAGGGCGCATGCACTCGCCAGACAGACAGAGAGAGACAGAAAGCGAGAAATCACCCCCCAGGGGGGATGGCCACGCCCCAATCCCTTCTCCTCCATTCTCCTCTCGGGATCTTGAGCACGCACGCACACGCGCCCAGTGTGAGTTTAAGCCACCGGGTCCAGGGTTCGAGCTGAGGTCGACTACATGGGAGTCCAGCAGCATAACCATTACGGTAACTGCTGGTCCCCTCAAAAGCACTATTTATGAGTCATCGACATAGCCAACAGGTTGGAACCCACAGGCCAGCAGCTTGCATGGTGGTTAAGGCGTTGGAATTCCCACATGGCCAACCACAGTTCGAGTCCGGGACTTGACAACTTGCTTTCTCAGTCTCCCTCCCCACTCTCCCTCTCTCTCTCTTTCTCTAGCAAAACCTATATGAAATAATAAATAAATATTTTAAAAAGATTTGGACCCAGCTGGCTGACAGTGGTTCAGATTTCAGCCCCAGTGCTTTGGAAAATACACCTAGTTGGGACCAGCAGTTAGCATAATGGCTATGTCTTTGGACTCCCATGTGGTCGACCGTGGTTCGCATCCTGGACCCGGTGACTTGAAACTCACACCGGGTGCGTGTGCGTGCGTGCCCAGGATACCAAGAGGAGAATGGAGGAGAAGGGATTGTGGCGTGGCCACCCCCCTGGAGGGTGATTTCTCGCTTTCTATCTCTCTGTCTCTCTCTCTGTCTGGCAAGCGCACGCGCCCTAAAACAAACAAACAAACAAACAAAAAAAACCTCTCCAAGAAAATACACATCTGCATGCTTGTCCCCGTTCCGGACGGGATGGAGAAACGGAGAAGGGATTGCAGCATGGCCGTGCCCGTGTGAGGTGCTTTTTCTCACCTCTCTCTCCCCATCCCCCTCTGTCTTTTCTCTGCTGAGTGCATGTACACTCGAGCAAACTTTTTTTTTTTTTTTAACGTTTTTGCCATAGGGTGTGTGAGCTCGCCGGAGAGAGACTGAGAGACAGTAAAAGGGAAAGTGAGAAATCACCTCCCAGCGGGAATGGCCATGCCGCAGTCCCTTCTTCCTCATCCTCCTCCTGTGATCTTGGGCACGCACGCACACACCCAGCATGTATTTCAAGCTACCGGGTCTGAGACTTGAACCACATTCGGTCATGTGGGAGTCCGGTGCCTCAACCACTATGCCATCTGCGGCCCCGCCCTCCAGCACATTTTTTAAAAACAAAGGGAAAAGAAAGCCAGATCCCACATAGCCAGCTACTGTTTGAATTCTGGCCCCAGTGGCTAGCGCAAGACTCTGGGTGTCCGTGCGTGCATACCCCAAACCCCGATGGGGAATGGAGGAGAAGGCGTTGTCTGACCGCCCCATACTGAGGGAGAGGCTCTCTCCTTCCCTCCCTCCTTTTCCCTCCCCCTCTCTCTCTCTGTCCTTGTGTGAGTGCCTCACCTGTTTCCCAGCTGCCCGGAAATATTTACATTCTTCTTCTTTTTTTTTTTTTCCTGGAGAGGTTTTTGCTATAGGGCACTTGCACTTGCCAGACAAACAGAGACAGAAAGCGAGAAATCACCCCCCGGGGGATGGCCACACCGCAGTCCCTTCTCCTCCATTCTCCTCTCGGGATCTTGGGCACGCACGCACATGCACCCGGCGTGAGTTTAAGCCACCAGGTCCAGGACTTGAACCGCAGTCGACTACGTGGGAGTCCAGCAACATAGCCATTACGCCAACTGCCGGTCCCAGTATTTACATTCTTCTATCACAGTACAGCCTTCTGCCCTTTTCCCCCCTGAACATCCGGGTCCCGTTCCTGTCATTGGTGCCCACTTCTGCGACAGTTACACAGTTCACACCTGCTTCCTTCTGCAGCATTCAAAAAGGACGCACAGAGAAAGAGGGAACTGAATTTACCACCCACAGCCCCACTTCCCCAAACTGTCCCTAGTCACTACCGTGGGGCCGTGCCTCCTGACGCCTCCTGACGATCTGGGACTTCATTCATTTTCTTCATTACCTCCCATAACAGGCGTGTTCAAGGAGGCCCCACACCGGAGAAGAGCCCTCGGGGCCTGTTCCCGGCAGTTTTCAACACACAGATAGTGCTTGGTCCCCAGGTGTCCTGCCTCCGCCTTTGGTTTCCTTCCTGGGTGATTTTAAAGCAAGTTCTAAAGGAGCAGCAGTTAGCATAATGGCTGTGTCGCTGGACTCTCATGTGGTCAACCACGGTTCAAGTCCTGGACCCGGTGGCTTAAACTCATGCCGGGCGCGTGTGCGTGCGTGCCCAAGATCCTGAGAGGAGAATGGAGGAGAAGGGATTGTGGTATGGCCATCCCCCCTGGGGGGTGATTTCTCGCTTTCTGTCTCTCTGGTGAGTGCACGTGCCCTATAGCAAAAACCTCTCTAAAAAGAGAAAAAAAAAAAAAACAAAAAAAAAACACTAGCTGTTCTCCTCTTCCATAAAATTTGCTTGGGGCAGGGACCAGCAGATGGCATAATGGTTACGTCGCTGGACTCCCATGTAGTTGACTATAGTTCAAGTCCAGGACCAGTGACTTAAAACCCATGCCGGGCGCGTGTGCGTGTGTGCCCAAGGTCCTGAGAGGAGAATGGAGGGGAGGGGGTTGCTGCGTGGCCATCCCCCCTGGGGGGTGAGTGCCCTGTAAGGGGACGGAACTCAAGCTGCCCCTCAGTACCCTGTGCTGTTTCTTTTCTGCGTGAGCCTTTTGTGTGTGGTGGGGGGATTGCTATAGGGCTTGTACTCCCCCAGGGGGACGGCCATGCGACAGGCCCTGCGCCTCCATTGTACTCACGCACATAAGTGTGGTGTGTGTAACTTACAAGCTGCCGGGTCCAGGAATTGAACTGCATAATTGGCCACGTGAGATCCAGTGCCCTAAACTGCATGCCCCCTGCTGGCCCTACACAAGTTTTTTTTTTAAAAAACAGATTATGTATTTATTTAATTCCATTTGTTATTATTATTATTGAGAGGTTTTTGCTATAGGGTACGTGCGCTCGCCAGAAATACAGAGAGAGAGAGAGACAGAAAGCGAGAAATTACCCGCTTCCCAGGGGGGATGGCCATGCTACAATCCCTTCTCCTCCATTCTCCTCTCGGGATATTGGGCACGCACGCACACACGCCGGGTGTGAGTTTAAACCACCGGGTCCGGGACTCAAACTGCCGTCAACTACATGGGAGTCTAGATTTGTAACTATTATGCCATCTGCTGTCCAATGTTATTATTTTTTTAATTTTACTTGACAGAAACAGAGAGAAAGGGAAAGCGACAAAGCAAGCTACCAGGTCTAGGACTCGAACCATGGCTGGCCATGTGGGAATCCAGTGGCTCCCACCATGCTACCTGCTGGGCCCTATTTTCTAATTCTTTAAAGAGAAAGATTTTTGCTTTAGGGCATGTGTACTTTCTGGAGAAACAGAAGGAGACCGACAGAAAGCGAGAAATCCCTGTCCAGGGGAGACGACGCTTCTCCTCCAGTCTCCTCTTGGGATTTTGGGGACGCACTGACATGTATCCAGAATGAGTTTTAAGCTATCGGGTCCAGGATTTGAACCACAGTCGACCACGTGGGCGTACAGCGACATAACCATTTCTCCATCTGCTGGTCCCCCGGGTGTGCTTTTCCAGCTGCTGTCTCCAGACTCCGTGGCCGAGTGGGCGGCAGGCCCGAAGTGCTGCCCCTCCGCCGGCCCCTCTTCATTCCCTACTTGCTCTCGGGGCGCCCAGGCCCCCTGGCTCACGGCCCCGCCCTGCCCTGTCCCTGCAGGCTACATCGGCGTGGTGAACCGCAGCCAGAAGGACATCGAGGGCAAGAAGGACATCCGTGCGGCGCTGGCGGCTGAGAGGAAGTTCTTCCTCTCCCACCCGGCGTACCGGCACATGGCCGACCGCATGGGCACGCCGCACCTGCAGAAGACCCTGAATCAGGTAGGCACGGCTGTGTGGTCAGGGGTCCGGGGCACGCACGCACACGTACACGCACATGACATGACTTTCAAGCTACCGGGTCCAGGACTCAGATACTGCTTGGCTGTGTGGGATCCAGCGTCTTAACTACTACACCACCTGCTAGTCCCACTTTTGGGTGTTTTTCAAGCTGCCGGGTCTGGGACCTGAGCCATGCAGTTGGCCATGTGAGATCCAGCCTCTTTTTTTTCTTTTTTTTTAGAGTATTATTTTATTTTATTTATATCATTAGTATTTGTTTAATTTGACCAGAGACAGAGAGAGATAGGGAATGTAGGAAATCAAGCCGCCAGGTCCTGGACTCCAACCGTGGTCGGCCATGTGGAAATCTAGTGCCCTTAACCACCACGTCACCTGCCGGGCCCCTCTCTTTTTATTTCCATAATTATTTTATGTAACTCTATTTACTTATTTATTTTAATTTGACCAGACAGGGACAGAGTGAGAGAGACAGTTCAAGGGAGAAAACAAGTCGCCAGGTCCAGGACTCGAACCGCCATCAACCATGTGGGAGTCCAGTGCCCCCAACCACCACGCCCCCCAAGGACATGTTTCTAATGGGCAGACGGAGGAGGCAAGCCACCTGATGGATGGCTGAGAAGGGAGGAGTGGCAGTCGTTGCCTGGAGGGCAGAGAGGGAAGGAAGTGCCCCCTGGGAGGGGCCCTCCATGCAAGGAAGCGAGGGGGAGGGGGAAGGAAGTAAAACTCCCCCTGCAGGTGGCCGGGGCTTCCCAGCTTGTGTGGGGGGTTCTTGGAGGCCTTGGCCCCCTTTAAATTGGGCTCCTGCTGCCACAGTGGCCCCGCCCTCTGATGCTCTGAGACACTGTCACAGACCAGAAGGAAAGCCCGCAGAGCTCACGGGGTTCACCCCTGCTCTGGAAACCCGCAGCTCCCACCGAAATGGACCTGCGAGATGGGCTGGGCGCCAGGGACCCCTGATCAAGGAGGGCTGTGGGGGGCCTTGGGGGGCGTCTGTCAGGTCCACCCGCAGACGCGAGGCTTCTCACCCGATGGAGGCGTGGTAAACCCGTCCCTCTCATGGCACAGACAGAAAAAGGCGTGTCTGCTTTTTACTCCAGGTTTTCGCTGATTTTATGGCTCAGGGCTTTTTCATTTATTCTTATTCTCCCTGTTTTGTAATATTTTTTTTAAAAAAGCAACTGGGGCCGGCAGGCGCAGTGATGGTTAAGGGTGCTGGACTTTCTCCCTCTCCCTCTCACTCTGTTCCTCTCACGTCAGATTAAAATAGTTCTTTACAAACCGTGCCGTTGGAGAGCAAGCTAACTATGACACAGTCAAGTAAGTTATTACTGTTCCTGGTGGGGAGAGAAAGAAAAAGGAGGAGGAAATGGAAAAAGGGAGGGAGGGAGAAAGAAAGAAGAAGGAAGAGAGAGAGGAAGGAGAGGCCCGGGACTCGAACCACAGTCGGCCATGTGGGAGTCCAGCGCCCTTAACCACCAGGCCACCTGCCGCTTCTCCAACTGCACATTTTTTTAAGGGTGTTCATTTCTTCCAGGAGGTGGGGGGAGCCAGCCTAGTCCGCCCGCCTCGATCACCCTGAGCCGCAGCCAGCCAGATCCCGGGCAGGAGCTCACCCAGCACGCACAGGGAGGCCCGGATGTGAACCAGGCCCCTGCGCTACGGGTCGGCGTGGCGGAGTTGTGTTCCCCTGCCTCCCCAGCTGGCCCGTCGAGCAGCACGCCTTCAGGAGGGTTTCCCCTCCTGCTCTGCAGCGTTGCCTGCTGTGAAAGTGGTACACGAGCCAGCTGGTGGCAAGGCGGTTAAGGCAGCTAGATGCCACATGGCCCACTGCACGGTTCGAGTCCCAGACCTGGCAGCTTGAAAAATCACAGTGGGCAAGTGCGCATGCCTAAAATCCCAGGAGGATGACAGGAGACAGGGTTGCAGCGGGCCATGCCCCTTGGGGGCGATTTCTCACTTTATGTCTGATGAGCTCACAGGGCCTATTGCAAAAACTGGGGAGGGGGGAATTGGTGAGCAATTAAGCAGTTCACACAGTTCAAAGGCAGAGGAATTTCGGGCTGGCCTTGTGGCCTAATGGTTGAGGGAGCTAGATCCTCCGTGGTCAGCCGCAGGTCTCGTCCCAGCCCCGACAGCTTGAAACACACCAGGTGTGTGCATTGCCCCAGATCCTGGCGGTGGCATGACCAACCAAAGATCTTTCTGATACTCCAAAGAAAACTACAGATTTTGGCTGATTTTATGGCTAAGGGCTTTTTCCTTTATTCTTATTCTCCCTGTTTTGTAATATTTTTTTTAAAAAAGCAACTGGGGCCGGCAGGCGCAGTGATGGTTAAGGGTGCTGGACTTTCTCCCTCTCCCTCTCACTCTGTTCCTCTCACGTCAGATTAAAATAGTTCTTTACAAACCGTGCCGTTGGAGAGCAAGCTAACTATGACACAGTCAAGTAAGTTATTACTGTTCCTGGTGGGGAGAGAAAGAAAAAGGAGGAGGAAATGGAAAAAGGGAGGGAGGGAGAAAGAAAGAAGAAGGAAGAGAGAGAGGAAGGAGAGGCCCGGGACTCGAACCACAGTCGGCCATGTGGGAGTCCAGCGCCCTTAACCACCAGGCCACCTGCCGCTTCTCCAACTGCACATTTTTTTAAGGGTGTTCATTTCTTCCAGGAGGTGGGGGGAGCCAGCCTAGTCCGCCCGCCTCGATCACCCTGAGCCGCAGCCAGCCAGATCCCGGGCAGGAGCTCACCCAGCACGCACAGGGAGGCCCGGATGTGAACCAGGCCCCTGCGCTACGGGTCGGCGTGGCGGAGTTGTGTTCCCCTGCCTCCCCAGCTGGCCCGTCGAGCAGCACGCCTTCAGGAGGGTTTCCCCTCCTGCTCTGCAGCGTTGCCTGCTGTGAAAGTGGTACACGAGCCAGCTGGTGGCAAGGCGGTTAAGGCAGCTAGATGCCACATGGCCCACTGCACGGTTCGAGTCCCAGACCTGGCAGCTTGAAAAATCACAGTGGGCAAGTGCGCATGCCTAAAATCCCAGGAGGATGACAGGAGACAGGGTTGCAGCGGGCCATGCCCCTTGGGGGCGATTTCTCACTTTATGTCTGATGAGCTCACAGGGCCTATTGCAAAAACTGGGGAGGGGGGAATTGGTGAGCAATTAAGCAGTTCACACAGTTCAAAGGCAGAGGAATTTCGGGCTGGCCTTGTGGCCTAATGGTTGAGGGAGCTAGATCCTCCGTGGTCAGCCGCAGGTCTCGTCCCAGCCCCGACAGCTTGAAACACACCAGGTGTGTGCATTGCCCCAGATCCTGGCGGTGGCATGACCATTCCCTATTGGGTGGTGTTTTCCCTCCCTCTCTCTGTCTCTGATAAGTGCACGCACCTTCTCACACACAAAAAAGTCAGGGGACCAGCAGATGGCGTAATGGTTGCATCGCTGGACTCCCACGTGGCTGACCATGGTTCAAGTCCCGGACGTGAAAGCTTAAAACTCATGCCAGTCGTGTGTGCGCGCATGCCCAAGATCCTGAGAGGAGAATGGAGGAGAAGGGATTGCGGCATGGCCATCCCCACTTGGGGGATGACTTGCCACTTTCTGTCTATCTCTGTCTCTCCCATGAGTGCACTCGCCCTATAGCAAAAAAAAATCTTTTAAATAAAGAAATAAAGAAATAAATACAAACAGCACTGGAGCAGGGAGGGGTGCAGTGGAGGGGCTTGCCCGGCCCCTGCTCCATCCTTCTACCCTTCGCCAGTGTAGCCTTTGGTGCCCCTGCAGCCACCATGGGGCTTTGAGCACCTCCTTCCTTTCACGGAAGGGAGCCCATCATACAACGCTCTGCAGCTCCCTGGGGGGGGCGCTTTTGGGCTGAGTTTGTGGGGCTCATCTCTGTGCTGTCCCAAGGCCCACTGTCCCACAGTCCTCCAGTCTGCAGAGGCTCCCTGGGCTCGTCACTGCATGGCGCGTGTGGGCGTCTGTCTGGATCAGCGTGTATGTCTTACTGCCCTGTGCCCTCCGGCCATGGACTCAGGCTCGATCTTCGCGGGGCCTCATGCAGCCCTGGGGCCGTTGGCAGCACCTCAGTCCTGCGGGCAGCCCTGCACCACGTGTCCTTGCTCCCAACACAAGTGGGTCTGCCGCCAGGCGTCTCTCGCTGTCTCTTGAGGCCACGGGGTGTCCTAGGAGCACGGACATACCATGGCTCCGGCTCTGGGTGTTGTGAGCCAGCCCGTCACGTCGGGGTGTCCTTCCCGTACCACACTCTCTGACCTGTCCCCTCTCCTGCAGCAACTGACCAACCACATCCGGGAGTCGCTGCCGGCGCTGCGCAGCAAACTGCAGAGCCAGCTGCTGTCGCTGGAGAAGGAGGTGGAGGAGTACAAGAACTTCCGGCCCGATGACCCCACGCGCAAGACCAAAGCCCTCCTGCAGTACGTGCCCCCTGCAGCCCGCCTCTCCCTGCGGGGCCTCCCCAGGATCCCAGGGGCTGGGGCTCAGCCATTCCTTCCTTCACGTAGTCGTTCATTCGGCGACCGCTTACGGGAGATCCCTGTTGCCAAGCCCCGTCCTGAGCACTGGGATTGCTGAGGTGGATGGGGCGAATATCCATCCTTGCCTTCGGGGTGCTTAGAAAAGGGGAGGGAGGACTGAGACAGAAAATAAAGTCTAAGAAAACGTGCTGTGTTGTTACGGGGCAGGGTATTAAACTACAGAAGGGAGGGACCAACAGTTAGCGTAATGGCTATGTCGCTGGACTCCCACGTAGTTGACCGTGGTTCGAGTCCCGGACCTGGTGGCTTAAACTCACGCCGGGCGCGTGTGCGTGCGTGCCCAAGATCCCGAGAGGAGAATGGAGAAGAAGGGATTGCGGTGTGGCCATCCCCCCCAGGGGGTGATTTCTCACTTTCTGTCTCTCTGACTGTCTGGCGAGTACACGCACCTTACAGCAAAAACCTCTCCAAAATAAACTAAAATAAAATAATGAAGTACAGAAGGGGGCTGGATTGGGCATGGCCTCCCTGCGGTAGGTGTGGGAGGAGCCGCTATAGCCCATGTGTGCTCGTCAGAGAGACGGCAAGTGAGAAATCACCCCCAGGGGACGTGGCCACACCACAGTCCCTTCTGCAGTCTCCTCGGGATATTGGGTGTGAGTTTTAAGTTCCCGTGTTCGGGACTTGAATCAGGGTGGACTGCGCGCGAGTCCGGTGACATCCATTACACATGTGCTGATTCCGGCTCTGGCAAGTTTTACAATGTTTCAAAAGGGCCCGCAGGTAGTATGGTGGTTAAGGGGCCGGAGCCCACATAGCTGACTCCACGATTCAAGTCCCGGACTGGCAGCTTAAAGACCACGCTGGTCGCATGTGCGTGCGTGTCCAAAAATCTTGAGAGAACGGAGAAGAGCTTGTGCCGTACCCATCCCCACTCCCTGTGCCCCCAGAGGTGATCTCTTACCTTCTGGCCCTGGTGAGCACACGTGCCATATGGGGGAAGGTTTAGAAATAAGAAAGCAATTGGGGCGGGCAGGTGGCACGGTGGTTAAAGGCACTGGACTCCCACATGACCAACCAAATAATAATAATAATAAATGAAGTTAAATAAACTAATTCTCTAAGAAATAAAAAGCAAGGAACCTAAGCCATGGCTTGACTTCACCGCGCCCTTGCAGAGGGTGCTCAAACCTCAGCTTTAACCTCCGCGTTGTCTTTGCTCGCAGGATGGTCCAGCAGTTTGGGGTGGACTTTGAGAAAAGGATCGAGGGTTCCGGAGACCAAGTGGACACGCTGGAGCTCTCGGGTGGCGCCCGGATCAATCGCATCTTCCACGAGCGGTTTCCCTTCGAACTGGTGAAGGTGGGCCCCCGAGCCCCTGGGCAGACCCCTCCTTCCTGGCCTGGAGCCCCTTCCTGCCCCAGCGTGCTGAGAGCAGGGCTTTCCTGGGGGAGGGATTCCTCCAGTCTCGGGCTTCCTTCTCAGGGCAGGCAGTGTAGAGATTTAGGGCAGGGACCAGCAGCTGGCGTAATGGCTATGTCACTGGACTCCCATGTAGTCGACCGCAGTTCGAGTCCTGGACCCAGTGGCTTAAACTCACGCCAGGCGCGTTTGTGTGCGTGCCCACGTGGCGATCCCTCCGGGGGATGATTTCTCGCTTTCTGTCTCTCTCTGTCTTTCTAGCAAGTGCACACACCCTATAGCAAAAACCTCTCAAAAAAAAAAAAAAAATCTGTGGGCGGGGACTAGCAGGTGGTGTGGTGGTTAAGGTGCTGGACATTCCCACATAGCCAACCATGATTATTATTATTATTTTTTTTGGAGAGATTTTCACTGTAGGGCGCGTGCGTTCGCCAGACAGACAGAGAGAGACATAGAGACAGAAAGCGAGAAATCACCCCCCAGGGGGGATGGTCACGCCGCAATCCCTTCTCCTCCATTCTCCTCTCGGGATCTTGGGCACACACGCACACGCGCCCGGCGTGAGTTTTAAGCCACCGGGTCCGGGACGCGAACCGCGGTTGACTACGTGGGAGTCCAGCGACATAGCCATTACGCTAACTGCTCGTTCCCCCAACCATGATTTTTGAGTCCCAGACCTGGTGGCTTGCTTTCTCACTTCCTCTCTCTCTCTCTCTGGTCTCTCTCTGGTCAAATTGAAAACAAATAAATTAATAAATAAAGTTAAGAAAATAATTCTTGTAAAAACAAAACCTCTGGACGATATACGGGATCGCAACGTGGGGGCATATCCCCATCGTGTTATTGAAGGCAGGAATAAGCAGGTTACGGGGCCAGCACGTATGACATAGGTTAGAGATGACACGTATGACACCCTTACATGGGAACTTCGTGTGTGTGTCTGGATGGGTCTTTGTGCAAATCTCCGAGTTTGCTCACGAACATCTCCACTCTGGGTGTTGGGACCGGGACACAGTTTTCCTGTAGCGTGTCTCTGTGTGTACATGATTTACATAATATTTTATGCCTTTTTAAAGATCTATTTATTTATTTAATTCCATTTGTTGTTGTTATTTTTTATTTTGATCAGAGAGAGAGAGAGAGAGAGACGGAGAGAGGGAAGGCGAGAAAGCAAGCTGCCAGGTCTGGGACTTGAACCCTGGTCAGCCATGTGGAACTCTAGCAGCTTTACCCACCACACTGTCTGCTGGCCCTCTGTTACACTTTTTGACATTGAACACATGGCATTTTTATAGAAAATAATAGCATTGGACCGTCTCTGTAGCCTGGTGGTTAAGACGGCTGGGTCCTGGGTCCAGCAGGTGGCATGGGGGTTAAGGTGCTGGACTCTGGCGTGGCTGACTGTGGTTCAAGTCTCCGTATTCCATGACTTGAACATCACACTGGGCACGTGTGTGTGTGCACCCAAAACCGGAGAGGAGAATGGAGGAGAAGGGATTACAGTGTGGCCATCCCTCCTGGGGAGTCGTTTCTCACTTTCCCTCTCTCTGAATTTCTGTCTCTCTCTCTGGCAAGCACACCTGCCTAATGACAAAAACCTTGGGGGGGAAAAATAAATGAACACAGTCAGTTCCCACATGGCCGACTGCACAGTTCAAATCCCAGACCCACTGGCTTGAGAAACACACCAGGCGTGTGCGTGTGTGTGTGCCACAAATCTCGACAGGATTAGAAAATGTCTCTCCGTCTCTGTGACAAGCACATGCAACCTCTAGTGAAAAAGGAAAAAAATATTAATGTTCTTTTTCATAAACTAACATATGCCGAAACCAGCAGTTGGCTTAATGTCTATCACTCTGGACTCCCTTGTAATTGACTGCGGTTTGCGTCCCGGACGTGGTGGCTTAAACTCACGCCGGGCGCGTGTGCGTGCGTGCCCAAGATCCCGAGAGGAGAATGGAGGAGAAGGGATTGCGGCGTGGCCATCCCCCTGGGGGGGGATTTCTCGCTTTCTCTCGTCTTTCTGGTGAGTGCACGCACACCCTATAGCAAAACCCTCTCCAAAAAAATCCCTATGCCACTAGGAAAAAGCCATGATCCTAACACCCCCCAGACAAAGCCATTTAGTACCAGGACCCGCATCCCTTGCCCCCCACGTCCTACACACACTGTGTGTCCACATCCATACCGATGTGCACAGGTTTCTTTCGAATTCACTAGAGGGTGCGCACACTTGCTGGAGAGACACGGAGGGAGAGAGAGAGAAGGAAAGAACAACCCTACAGAGCGGGTGGTCACGCTATGATCTCTGCGTTTACTTTTTTTTTTTTTTTTAAACACTTTTACTAGAGCGCATGTGCACTTGCTAGAGAGGCAGAGAAAGACAGTGAGAGAGAAAGTGAGAAATGACCCCCATCACCACCACTGGGGCAGGTGACCATGCCACAAAGCCTTCTCCATTCTCCTGGGATTTTGAGCATGTACGCACACGCACCTGGCTTGATTTTCAAACCACCGGGTCCGGGACTCGAACCTCCGTCGGCCATGTAACCACTACGCCACCTGCTGGCCTCTCTTTTCTGTTTCTTCTCTCAAGACTTTGGGGGCACACACCCACACAGGTCTGGCATGTTTATGAAGCCACCAGGCCTGGGACTCGAACAGCAAAGTCGGCCGTATGCGATCCAGATGCCTTAAACCACCGTGCCGCCTGCCGGCCCCCCGTTTTTTATTTGGCCAATATCATGCCTTAGGAGTCCAGCTGCACGTCGGTGGTCACGTTGTGTCTTCCCTCTTTTCAGATGGAGTTCGATGAGAAGGACTTACGCCGAGAGATCAGCTACGCCATCAAGAACATCCACGGGGTCAGGCAAGTCCCGCGGGGGAGTGCGGCCGCGGCCCCTCCCCCTCCACGACCCCCCCAACCGTGAGGCCTTGAGGGGCCGCTTGGGTGGGTTTCGGCAGCTGGAGCCCTCTCCTGGGGGTCTCCCAGAGCACATGAGGGGCGACATGTCTCAGTCCCGTGTGGCTGGGCTGCCCAGGCCCGTTAGCTGTGCTGGGTCCTGCCCTGCCAGCTGGCCTGGCGGGGGCGTCGGTCACCATGGTAAATGGGGAACGCTCCCTGCTATTCGCCGGGGGGCGGGGGAGCCCACTGAGTCAGGGTGACAGGCACCAGCATTTGTCCCCATCGCGGGTTCACTCTGGGTCTCCCAGGCCCCGTCCCTATTCCACCAAAGCTCATGTGGCACGGGGTCCTCGGGTCACCCTGGAGGGGGGAGGTTTCCCGGCCCCGGACAGCAGCATCTGGCTCCAGAGCGGACGTGACCTTCCGCCGTCCGCGGGGCCCCGGCCGGTACCTGTGTAACTGCTGACCGTGCTCTGTTTCTTTCTGACTTCCCTCCCCTGCCCCGCGGGTGTGGACGGTTTTAGGACCGGGCTCTTCACCCCGGACTTGGCATTCGAGGCCATTGTGAAAAAGCAGGTCGTGAAGCTGAAAGAGCCCTGTCTGAAATGTGTCGATCTGGTTATCCAGGAGCTAATCAGTACCGTTAGGCAGTGTACCAGTAAGGTACTGCACCCCCGGCTGGCGGCCGGCGGCTCCCGGCCCGGGACACGGGCGTGGGGGTCTGGCGTCAGGCTCCCAGTGCTACGCCGGTCCACGCTGGTCCCTCTCCCCCGGATGGCCTCGGTTTCCGAGAACACGGCCTCCACCCCGAGGCCGTGTTGGGATCATGTTGGCCTGGGCCCACGGTGGGGGTGCCGGCCCTCCCAAATTGACCAGACGGGTGGACAGGCCTGCCTGGGACCCTGACGTCAGACCAAGCATGTGCCTGGTGAAATTGGGGTCTCCGTGGGCTGTCGCTTTGCTGCCTTCTGGGAAGCAGAGAGGGACCCCGTGTCAGCTGCTGGAGGCCAGGCTCCCCGAGCCTCCCTGCCCGTCACCCCCATTTTGACAAACGCCTGGTGGGGTTCCCTGGAGCCGGCCACCTCTCTGTTCCCGCCACACTGCACAGTGTGTACCCGGCCCCGCAGAACCAGCCGGGCCTGGCCACCCCTCCCGCTCCCTGCCACCCGTGCTGTCCCCGGATCCACACGGTCACGTGTGCTTCTGTGCCTCGTTCACGGGTGACCGCCTCCACCAGGCAGGGCGCCAGGCTCTCCTGACACACGAGCCTGTCTCCCAGGCAGCGCGCTTTGGCCGAGCAGCGGGAGTGCTTCCCCGGGGGCAGTCCGTGCTTGCACGACCGGTGTCCCCCGCGCGCTGGGTTGGCAGGGACCTTCTGCTTGACCCTTCTGTTCTCAGTCTGGAAGAGCCCACATTTGCTTCGTAAGCTTCTTCGGAGATGGTCACACTGGGGCCTGCTGTCACCGGATGACAGCAGCCGGGGGCACTTGTGCCGTGACACCCCAGCCCCGGTCCCCCGCACTCATACACCCCCAGCCAGAGCTCCTTGGTCCGAAGCAGCTTCGGGGGCAAATGCGCAGGCTCCTCCGTGCATGTATTAACCTGCCGGTTCTCGTCTCTTCTCTCTCTCTGCCTCCCGTCCCGTGTGCGTGGCCTGCGCTGTCCCTGGGTGTCTTTCCGCCTCGTCCCGCCCTCCGCATGACCCAGGACGGGGCTCTTCACCCCCGACATGGCCTTTGAAGCCATTGTGAAAAAACAGATTGTAAAGCTCAAAGAGCCGAGTCTGAAGTGCGTCGATCTCGTGGTCTCAGAGCTGGCCACGGTGATTAAAAAGTGCGCCGAGAAGGTAACAGGTCCCCTGTTCTCACTCCGCATCCGTCCGTGGGTCACCACCTGAGCATCTGCACACCCACCTCGGCGGGAGCCCCTTTCTGGGGACCACCGGTTGCTTAGCGACACCTCCATCCTGCCTCACAGCCAGAAGGGAGGCGTGGCGTCTCGGCGTGTCCCACCTCCCAGTTCTGCCTGGCCGCGGGGGCGGGCGGCCTATGAGTTGCCAAGTGCCACCGGCTTTACTGAGCCACAGCCCTTCCTGGGGCCCTGAGGACAGGGTTTCCCACGGTCACCAAAGTAGCAAGACACGTGGTCACCTGTAAACCCATGTGTTCTGGTAATAACGGGGTGTTTAAGAAGTTTTTTTAAATGTTTGCCATCGGGCGCATGTGCTAGCCAGGGACAGAGTGGGAAAGTGAGAAGTCACCCTTGAAAGGATGGCCACACCACAATCCCTTTTCCTCCATTCTTCTCTCAGGATTTTGGGGCCTACGCACATGCACGTAGCGTATTTCTCTAGCCTCTGGGTCTGGGCCTCGAACCACAGAGTTAAGTTTGTTTTTGTATTTTAGTTTCATGTAGAATACATGAACTCAGTGGGGCCTGGGGGAGGTAAGAAAGCACCCCCAGGGGCGATGGCCATGCCACAATCCTATCCCCTCCCATCTCCTCTCTCGATTTCGGGCGCGCACACACGTGCCTGGCATGTTTTTCAAACTGCAGGGTTCCAGAGCTGAACCACACTGTTGCCCATGTGGGATCCAGCTGCCTCACCCACCGTGCCACCTGCTGGCCCTGGCCCTAAGAGGTTTTAATTAGCAATTTTTTGGTTTATTTTAAAGAATTACCTGTGCTGTTTTATTTATCATCATTATTGTTATTTTTAAAGAATTATTTTTATTTAACTCTATTTATACATTTATATATTCATTTTTTAATTTGGCCAGAGTGAGAGAGAGAGAGAGAGAGGGAAAGCAGGCCGCCAGGTCCGGGACTCGAGCCACGGTTGGCCATGTGGGAGTCCAGTGTCATTAACAACCATGCCACCTGCCGGCCCCATCATTATTATTTTTTAGAGAATTATTTATTTAATCTTACGTAGCATCAGTATCATTATTATTCATTTTTAACTTGCTACAGGGCACGTGTGCTCACAGAGAGAAAGAGAGAGAGGAAGGGAAAAACCAAGCCACCAGGTCCGGGACTCAAACCGCGGTCGACCGTGTGGGAGTCCAGCACCTTAACCACCACGCCACCTGCGGGCCCCATTTACAAGCAATGTTGACTTCGCTCCATTTTCCGCAACTTGTCATCCAACCCCAAACCGTAGAATATGTCTGCAGCTTCCCGTGGGGATTTGGCTGGGAACTGATGGCGACCAGGGTGGCAGCAGCAGGGTGTCGAGGGCCTGGGCGCCAGGCATCAGGTGGTTTCCCACAAGGGGGTCCCCCGAGGTTGACTGCCCCACCAAACCAGAACGGGCGGTGTTCGCGCTCTCACCCAGCGCGGGACGGGAGGGGCTGCCCAGAGCCTCCGCCGGCAGACACGCGCCCTCGCTTTCTCGCACTCTCCACCACCCAATCACTGGCTCTAAAAGCAGCTCGCTCTTGCATGGGCCCCCTCTCCTCTCCTGCCCACCGTCCCCCCACTGTCCTGTCCCTGTCTCCCAGCTGGCACGAGTGGGGGACAGGCGCAGGCGGGGCTCTCTCCCTCCCCCTGCATTCTCCATTCATGTGGTCCGTGTCGCTTCTGGTGCCACGAGGGCCCAGCCAATGCAGTCCCTTCCGCTTGTCACCCCCAGCTCAGCTCCTACCCCCGGCTGCGAGAGGAGACGGAGCGAATCGTCACCACTTACATCCGGGAACGAGAGGGCCGGACCAAGGACCAGGTAGAGGCTTTTTGTCTTACTCTCCGGGCGTAAATCACACGCGTCCCGTTCTGAGTTCCCGCAAATGCGTGTAACAGCGTGACCCCCACCTCGGCCGAGATGCTGAGTGGTTCTAGCACCGCCTCCCCCCACATTCCTGTCCCTGTGCCCTTCAGAGTCGGCCCCCTTCATGTCCCTGTAGATTTCCAAGTAGCCGCCTGGAAGAAGCCTTTTCACCCCGTCTTCCTTCCTCTTAACCCACTGGCATTTGTGGTTCGTCTGTGTCCTCTACCATCCATGTCAATAGTTTGTTGTCCTTTCATTTTGTTTTTTAAGGGTTTTTGCTTTAGAGCACATGCGTCCATGGGAGAAAGAGACAAGAGCCAGTCAGAGGGAAAGTGAGAAAGCAAACCGCCAGGTCTGGGGCTCAAACCGCGGTCTGCCATGTGGGAATCCAACAGCCCTAACCGCTACGCCACCAGCCAGGTCTGGGACTCGATCCATGCAGTTGGCCATGTGGGATCTCACCTTAACCACCACGCCACCAGCAGGCCCAGGCTTTATAGCGTTTTTTTATTGGTTTTTTTTTTTTTTTGAGAGGTTTTCACTATAGGGTGCGTGCACTCTCCAAACTGAGAGAGACAGAGAGACAGAAGGTGAGAAATCACCCCCCAGGGGGAATGGCCACGCCGCAATCCCTTCTCCTCCATTCTCCTCTCGGGATCTTGGGCACGCACACACACGCGCCCAGTGTGAGTTCTAAGCCACCGGGTCCAGGACGTGAACCGCAGTCCACTACATGGGAGTCCAGCGACATGGCCCTTACGCTACCTGCTGGTTGCCTTTTTTTTTTTTTTTTTTTTTTTTTGATTGGTTTGTTAGGTTTTTGCCATAGGGCATGTGTGCCCACCAGAGAGAGGGAAAGTGAGAAATCACCCCCCAAGGGAGGTGGCTACGCTGCTAGCTCTTCTCATTCTCCCCTCAGGATGTGGGGCACACACGCATGTCGCATGATTTTTCAGGCCACCAGGTCTGAGGCTCGAACCACAGTCGACCATGTGGGAATCCAGTGGCTTACCCACCACACCACCTCTACCTTGGAGTTCTAGGGCTGGTCTAAAGACTTTAGGTGGCCCAGACTCGATGTCACGGGTGGTGGGGCAGCACTGGGCAAGTCCAGGGCCATGTGGGAGGCCTGAGTTTGGGTCTTGGGCCACCCTGAATAGGCTGGGCATGGTGGAACACGCTGGCAGCCCGGTTAGCTGGGGTGCTAGAATGGAGAGTCGCAATGGTGAGAGCCCATCATGGTGCCTCGCTCCTGCGCTGGCCATGTAGCCTAGTGATCATGGTAGGCATTTCTCACTTGGCCGACCGCGGATCAAATCCCGGTCTCAGTGACTTGGTGAAAACACATCCCAAGCTTGCTGGTGGCTTGGCAGTTAAGGCGGCTGGATCCCACATGGCCAAGTGCACGGTTTAAGTCCCAGACCTGCAGGTTTGCGAAACACACCAAGTGCAATGTGCATGCGTGCCCAAAACCCCGGGAGGAGGTAGGAGGAGAAGGGATTGAGGCACAGGCATCCCCCCGGGGGCTGATTTCTTGCTTTCTGTCTGTCTGTCTGTCTCTCTTTTTCTGGCAAGTGCATGCACCCTATAGAAAAAAACCTCTCCAAAAGAAAAAGGGAAAGAAAAATAAGGGGCCGGCAGGTGGCATAGTGTTTAAGGGTGCTGGACTCCCACATGACTGACCGTGGTTCGAGTCCCGGACCTGGTGACTTGCTTTCTCTTTCTCTCTCTCTCACTCTCACTCTGTCCCTCTCTGGTCACATATAAATAAATTAATTAATTAATTAATTTTAAAAAAAGGAAGAAAGAAAGAAAAATAAGCCCATGATAGAATCAAAACGTTGTAAAGAAGTTCAAATGCTCCTTGACAGCCGATGGAATAAATCCAGATAAACTCATCGTGCAGTAGCCAAGAATCGCACATCGGACCTCGGTAAGTCGGGGACTCTCCTTCCTCAAAGCCACCCCTTCTGTCCCCCAGATTCTCCTTCTGATCGACATCGAGCAGTCGTACATCAACACCAACCACGAAGACTTCATCGGATTTGCCAAGTATGTGCTTCTCGGGGTGACAGCTGCCTGGTGGGGGGTCCCTTCCATCTGCAGAGCCAGACCTGAGGGAGGCGGCGGCAACGGGACTCCCTCGGAGGGCAGGGGCAGAGCGTCTCCGTCGGGAGTCCTGGAGTGAAGGACAAAGCCACTCGAGAAGACAGGAAGCCTTCCTGGCTAACAGCGACCCTGGCCGTGTGTCCCCAAGCATGGTGCCTTCTACGGGCCTTCCCAGTGCTTAGAGGACAGTGTCCGTGGGGACAGGGTGATGCCAGCCAGCTTCGCTGCTCCCCCACTGCAGGGCTTCTCGGGGCCTCGCGTGGACCAGCGCGATGCTCTTCCTTCTGCGCTCTGGGTCCGGAAGCTGCTCTTTGGAAGTGTCCTCCGGGGTCTCTGGCTCCCAGGTGCATGTGGTGGATTGAAGACCCCCAGCTTCCGGCCCAGAGGCCAGCGTGGGGGCCCTGGTTGTGGCCAGACGTAGACAGAAATGCTTTCGGTGCAGCTCCCCCTACTGCCCCCAGCAGCCCCTGCCCTCTCAGCATGCCTGGGTGTCGCTGGACGTACTCTGGTGGCCCCTGCTGGTCCTGCCTGAGGCTGAGTGGCAGCCTGATGGCAGCCCCGTCCCTCTGTTCAGTTAGCAGGTTCTGTTGGGTCTTCTCATTGCAGCCACTGTCACAGTGGCGAGCGGCCCAGGCCAGGGACAGACATGCCTCCAGGGGGCCTGTGCAGGGCACCTGAGGGTCCTCAGAGTGACTTTAAACCTGGCCGGGGACCCTGGGCAAAACGCTTCTCAGTGCCCTCTGCCTCCATTCTGCAGCAGGCACACAGCCGTGAGAGGAGCAGGGACAGACAGACCGAGGGCATGATCACAGCTGTTCCCCGAGCCCAGAGGAGCCGCGGGCCTGGCTGGGCTGGGCTGTCCCGGCTGGGGGTGGCCTGGGGCGCCCTGGACGTGGGTCACATCCCAGGCGGAGCCCTCAGCGCGCCTCCTGCTGCCCCCTCCGCCGCTGGGCGAGTGCGGGCTGCCGGCGCTGGTCCTCCCGCTGGGTCGCGGCCGTGTTCCTCGCCCTGACGTCTCTGCTTCTCACACTCCGCCCGCAGTTCCTTCTCACAATCTCTCCTGTTTTTCCTCTCACCACTCCACTCC